CAAAAATTCCTTAATGAGACTATGGTTCGATTGTACATTGTACCAGATGTGCCCACTGATTTCCCGTTTGCACCACAGACTCGGAATGAGATCAGGTAGTTGCTTCTCCAGTTTTTATAGCTCTGAAATTCAATTTCTTCGTCCCACTTCAACAATAATCATGAACATTTGGTGTCTTGCATGCTGAGTATATCATCGTTCAAAAGCCTATATGGGTTGTGGGAGGGTGGGGTCATGGCGCTATAGAAGAGGCCGTATTGGGCTAGTTAGAATCGTTTGTATTGGTGGGAGGGGGTATGGTAAGTTGGGAATGAACCCTAGTGCGACCGTGCAGCCATCGCCATCGTAGAAGGAAGTAACGAGTAAGGAGGGAGGTGTTACTGAATAACTAGGACCGTACTATTGATAATACCTTGAAATTTTGCTCATTGCGATGATATGCCTTGATCAGTGTATTACTTTTTTGTGCCCCACTTCTATCACGCTGTCGGCATAAGTTACCAGTTTTCAGGAAAATACAATGGTTCAACGTGTGGGATCTTCCCACTGACCGGAATGATCAATTCCATAAATTGGGAATCCTGTCCAATCATAATTTCTACACTGTTATGCCATTTGTGCAAGATCTACAAAAATATATTGTGCGAGAGCAAGAGAGGAGAGCACTTGCTGTACGTTCTGTTGTTTTCTGCTAAGATCTCGTAGACCGCGTTCATACTCTGTAAATGTGAAGTGTGCGCGATACGGAGGAATGAGTGAAAAGGGAGGCATATTTATTGATCCGTAAGATTTCTCGTTGCGCGGAGACCGTGAAACGCTCGCGCGCGGATCACTCGTTCCCTACGTAGTCCTTTGTCGTCATTACTCCCTGTTGGTTCTCCGTAGCTACATGTATGTTTAATCCCAGCGCAGTCTCTCTAATCGCCATTCGCCACATTCGTAGAGTGTAAACGCGGTTTCATCCTTTCGTTTAGACAAATATACTTTGTGAGTCGAGTGAAATAGTCGCGTGACCCTTGTGGTCGCGCTCCACCTTAATCGTTGGTCTGAAACGAGTTCTGTCTTGACTGTGGTAAAATTAGCAATTGTAATGATCCGAAGATTACGGTGGAGCGCGAGAAGCTACAGTA